GGATGAGTAAAAAGCAGAGGACTCACGCGAACATGCATGTCTTGAAGAAATATGAGCAGTGTTTGTCTAAGAAGCTGGAATTCACCCTCTGACAAAGGTGAGTAAACCTACAAGAGGAACAAAAACAGGTCACACAAGATTTATAAATAGGCACTGAAATCTGACAGATGGAATCTGGACTAACTTGCATAGGATGTACTATACACTGTATATGTAGTATATGTGACATTTCAACAAGGAGCATTCAGTAATGGAATATCATAATTTAAGGTTGATTTAATAACAGCTGTCAATATACCTCAATGATCTTCCTATGTGTCTCGTCCACTTGATGTACGACCACAGGAGTGTCTTTTACAAGTTCCCTGATGGTGTCTATGTGATTGTAAGAGATGAGCAGCAAGTCTTTTGGCCGTGGACAAAGGAAGACCTGATATTTGAAGGCCATGACCATCAGCTCATAAAGCTACAGGAGGAAAGAAAGAAAGAAGATATGAACATAAGAACACCCCTGCAATCAAACAAACCACTTCTTTGCCCCCTATCTCACCATGTTTCGTACATCTTTCTCAAGTAGCAAAACATAAACAGCCTTCGAGATTTAACCTGGTAAAATGCTGGAAACAAGGACTTGGTCATAAACATGTAAAAACCACTATTTACACTTCTTCAAAAGAAAAATGTTTAAATGTCATGTAATTTTAATTGTCAACATTCAGAGATCCGAATGACTTGCATGACAACTTTCCTATGAACACTTGTGACTTGACTCAGACATGCCCTTAATGTGAGCACGGACTTTCCCCCAAATATTTAGCATCTCTTTATGTTATCTTGTACATACCCTGTCCATGCTGGCCGGGTTCAACCTCATGATGGAGGCGTGCGCTAATCGAGTTAGCACTGTTTTCATTGTCCTGTGAGAATACAGCTGCTGAGGTTTGAGGAGTTCATCCATAAAGGCTTTACTAAACATGGTCCCAACTATGTCATTCAGAACTATAAATCGGGCAATAGACGAAAACAGAAAGGTGGTTAATGTATGGTTAATGGAAATGTTAGGTCTACAGCACAAAATAACACAGAGCTTGATATACAACTCTAGTACATTGTTTCTGGTCTAGCTGGTTGTCCTCATTGGGCTAGACTGCTTTACAGAGACAGAGAACAGTAATGAAGCAGTGGAGAAAAAATGGTTTGAGGTTTTCATTTTGGTGGGAATTAAAATTAGGGCAGTGGTTCTCAAAGTGGGGACCGGGGACTCCCAGGGGTCCTTGAGTGGGTTTCAGGGGGTCCCCAGAAAAAGGGGGAATCATTTATTTTCACTATAATTCCATCCATAACACAGTGACAGAAAATATTTTTGTCATGGGTTTCATACACTTTGTGTAATAAAAGTCAAAATCCTATCAGATGGGCAATCCTGGGACAAACTCTTTTCAAATAGGGGTGGTCTGATTTGTGTCAGTTTAGGGGTCATTCATGTGAAATTGTTTGAGAATCACTGATTTAGGGCAGTAAATTCTAGCGCTACTGATGTATCTCACATGGATCTCAAGATACAGTTAGCGTTAGCGTACAGCTAATAGTAGACACTACGGGGCAGAAGGAGCTGACTAAACAATAATATGCACAAGTATGGTATGGATACCTCTTTTTCTGTCATTTTCTGACCACACTCCTGCATTCGAATTAGGTTTCCCAAAGAAAGAAAACAAAGTAGATAGACTTGTTATTTGGGGTGTTGCACGTGAGCAATATGAGATGCACGTTTATAAACCGACTGGAGGCTAAACACGTACACACCTACCAAACCTGTCAGTTCTCTAGCTACCTCTACCTTTCTCTGAATTGTCCTCAGATGTGTTGTGAGCCTGCAGCCGTTGGTCCAGTATGTAAAGCATCTCTCCACCAAGATTAATGAAAACCAGGGGGAGAGTTCTCACAGACATCTTGCAAAGACAAAGACGAGATTAACTCCTGAAAGCTGACAAGTATAGAAGTAGGCGTTAGAAGAAGTTCAGCCCCTTGCAGATCAAAAGCACTCAGGTCATTTCAAAGACATTATCTGACTGTTCCTGTTGTGAATTGCCTCTGGGAACACATTGTCCATGCTAAGTCTTATCTAATCATGCTTCTGCAGATAACCTGTTGCACTAAGATGCAACAGGTGGTCAGGAAGAGGATCAGCAGAGGCCAGAGACCGGCTTATTGGCCAGGATAAGGATGATGCAACAGCACAGTGCAACCAACCACAGAAGGAGAACAGAGCTGTACTGTATGTGTAAATGCTGAATTTCTGGAAAAAGACAACAAAATCTACTGAAGAGTTGTGACAATAACAATAGATGCTAATATGAATGTAATGCCAAAGAAACCGATTACATTGCAATTTATAAAAATACTATGGCCACATGTATGAAGTAACCTAAACAAAGTATGTGGACTCTGTACCATTTCACCCATAAGTGATTGTAAAACATCCAAAAAATGTTTGTTGCTATAACATCCTTTGCTCTCCTGGGGTAGCTTTCCACAAAATGTTGGAACCCACAAGAGCATTAGTGAGATTGGGTAATGATTTAGGGAGATTTAAAGGCCTGGCTCATTCCAGTTCATCTCAAAAGTGTTGGATGGGGTTCATTGTATTTTATGTAACACTCACATATACAGTAAATATGAACTCATAGCCAGAAGCCAGTTAGCTTAGCTTAGCATAGTTAGCTGTCTTTGCTGCTTGACTGGCAATTTCACAGTGATGACTCTCCAGGAAGTCACTGTTCTCAGTCATTAAATAGTCCAGCGCAAAAACCCTTTTAAACACAATTGTTTAAAACAAATACTATAGTGTGTTAATTAGTAAGGTTTAGAAGTGCTGGTAGACAGGTTTTGTTATGTTTGGACACAGCCGGTTTAGCTTTCTCCTCCTGTTTCCAGAGTTTCTGCGAGGATAAATGGCTTGACCTGAAGACATGAGTGTGGTGTCAAACTTCTCATCTAACTCTCAGCAAGAGAGGCCCTAAAGTGTAGCTGTCTACATGGATATTACCTGCTGATATTTGCTGCAATATACAGTGCCTTGCGAAAGTATTCGGCCCCCTTGAACTTTTCGACCTTTTGCCACATTGCAGGCTTCAAACATAAAGATATAAAACTGTAATTTTTTGTGAAGAACCAACAACAAGTGGGACACAATCATGAAGTGGAACGAAATTTATTGGATATTTCAAACTTTTTTAACAAATAAAAAACTGAAAAATTGTGCGTGCAAAATTATTCAGCCCCTTTACTTTCAATGCAGCAAACTCTCTCCAGAAGTTCAGTGAGGATCTCTGAATGATCCAATGTTGACCTAAATGACTAATGATGATAAATAGAATCCACCTGTGTGAAATCAAGTCTCCGTATAAATGCACCTGCTCTGTGATAGTCTCAGAGGTCCGTTTAAAGCGCAGAGAGCATCATGAAGAACAAGGAACACACCAGGCAGGTCCGAGATACTGTTGTGGAGAAGTTTAAAGCCGGATTTGGATACAAAAAGATTTCCCAAGCTTTAAACATCCCAAGGAGCACTGTGCAAGCGATAATATTGAAATGGAAGGAGTATCAGACCACTGCAAATCTACGAAGACCCGGCCGTCCCTCTAAACTTTCAGCTCATACAAGGAGAAGACTGATCAGAGATGCAGCCAAGAGGCCCATGATCACTCTGGATGAACTGCAGAGATCTACAGCTGAGGTGGGAGACTCTGTCCATAGGACAACAATCAGTTGTATACTGCACAAATCTGGCCTTTATGGAAGAGTGGCAAGAAGAAAGCCATTTCTTAAAGATATCCATAAAAAGTCTCGTTTAAAGTTTGCCACAAGCCACCTGGGAGACACACCAAACATGTGGAAGAAGGTGCTCTGGTCAGATGAAACCAAAATCGAACTTTTAGGCAAGAATGCAAAACGTTATGTTTGGCGTAAAGGCAACACAGCTCATCACCCTGAACACACCATCCCCACTGTCAAACATGGTGGTGGCAGCATCATGGTTTGGGCCTGCTTTTCTTCAGCAGGGACAGGGAAGATGGTTAAAATTGATGGGAAGATGGATGGAGCCAAATACAGGACCATTCTGGAAGAAAACCTGATGGAGTCTGCAAAAGACCTGAGACTGGGACGGAGATTTGTCTTCCAACAAGACAATGATCCAAAACATAAAGCAAAATCTACACTAGAATGGTTCACAAATAAACATATCCAGGTGTTAGAATGGCCAAGTCAAAGTCCAGACCTGAATCCAATCAAGAATCTGTGAAAAGAACTGAAAACTGCTGTTCACAAACGCTCTCCATCCAACCTCACTGAGCTCGAGCTGTTTTGCAAGGAGGAATGGGCAAAAATTTCAGTCTCTCGATGTGCAAAACTGATAGAGACGTACCCCAAGCGACTTACAGCTGTAATCGCAGCAAAAGGTGGCGCTACAAAGTATTAACTTAAGGGGACTGAATAATTTTGCACGCACAATTTTTCAGTTTTTTATTTGTTAAGAAAGTTTGAAATATCCAATAAATTTCATTCCACTTCATGATTGTGTCCCACTTGTTGTTGGTTCTTCACAAAACATTACAGTTTTATATCTATATATGTTTGAAGCCTGCAATGTGGCAAAAGGTCGAAAAGTTCAAGGGGGCCGAATACTTTCGCAAGGCACTGTAAGTGACTCAAATCTTACATTATAAAAAATGTGTTTATGTAATTGATGAATTCTACATGTAGGCTATATGTGAAGGATAGCCAGCTGAATTGACTTGTGTATCTCCATGACTGTCCCTGAAGCCACATTTTCCTAGCTAAACCGTTGTGATATGATCTGTTCAGCACTTTTATGATGCTGACATTTCTTTCTCTTACTCTCCCTCCCATTCCAAATAAAAGATTATAGAGTAGAAACATGCAAATGAAAGTTTATCTTTATACACACTGTTACAGCAGCTGAATCCACAGAAGGCAACTGCCTATTTGTCACAGTCATATCCACTGCTTAAAGCTTTTTGGGGCTTGTGAAATGTTTAACAAACTGACATTTGAGACGAAAATGTAAACACGTCTGGAAAGAGTGCTGAACAAATCCTGATTGAGCTCACCGGACCATATAGCCAACAAACCAAATATGGGGATCAATCATTACTTTTGGCTTCTCTCTATGTAAGTCAAACTTAACTTTAATAATTGTATTATGTTGTAATTTTTTCTCACCTAGTATAGTATACGTATTACACAAATATTTCTCAAAGGTTTCCTGTTTTTATTTTTGATTGTTGTTTGAGAACAATTTCAACTTTTTTTCTGATGTTCAAATTTCTAAAGAAATTAGCAATCGTCATGTCTGTCCCCCACCAGAATAACTTACTGTTCGGGTACAGGAACAGGTTTCAATGATAACCCAGCTGTCAATCCAAGATTTTATAACCTGAACTGGATGAAGTCTATACCTGATGAGACTTCAGTATCTGCTATCGCCATTCCTGGAACACATGGAAGCTTATCATTATATGGAGGACACCTTATTAAATGTCAAGTTTGGACCTTAGAAGAGCAACTTAAAATGGGAATACGGTATTTAGATTTGCATGCTGGGATTTGGTTGCCTAATCAAAAGCATGTTTATATCCAGAATAGTCACTGGATGCCTTGGAAACGAATTACATTTGATACAGTCCTGAAGATCATTTTCAATTTCTTAGAAGTTCATAGCAGTGAGACCGTGCTAGTAAAAGTGACACTACATGGTGTTAACCAGTTGAAAGTCGTAGTACTGATCGATAAATTAATTGAAAAGTTCAAAAATCAAATATGGACCAAGTTCTCAGTACCAAACATGAAACAGGCAAGAGGCAAGATTGTTCTTCTCCGAAGTGACACGTTCCATTCTGGAACCGAAAACCATAAATCATTTTTCTTTGAATATAATGAGCTAAAAAGAGTTGAAGACAAAATAAAGCAAATTAAGTCAAGCCTATGCCACCATCAAATTGTGCTAACTGACAGTGCAGCATCAACTTGGGAAAGCCCTAAAACTTTGGCTAAAAAAGTTAACAAAAAGCTTAATAAATTTGTGGTGCACCATTATAGAACCTCCTTAAATGCAGGATGCTTGGGTATCTTAAGTGTTAACTTCCCCAGTGCTGATCTTATTAAAAACATCATTCAAATCCAACCATGCAAATGTAGTAAAGGTGCAGAGAAAGGACAAAGACCTGATGGAGATAAGCCTCAAATAACTGAACCACAAACCAACCAGGACATACAGAAAACACCTGAATCTGACACTACAACTTCAACAGCACCACTAACATCTGGGCAGGATTCAGAGACAACACCTGAACCAGCGCCTGAACCAGATTCAACACCATCTGGGCAGGATTCAGAGACAACACCAGAACCAGAGCCTGTACCAGCACCTGCACCTGAATCACCACCATCTGGGCAGGATTCAGAGACAATACCTGAACCAGCACCTGAACCAGCGCCTGAACCAACACCTGAACCAGCGCCTGCACCAGAATCAACACCATCTGGGCAGGATTCAGAGACAACACCTGAACCAGCCCCTGAACCAGCCCCTGAACCAGCGCCTGAACCAGCTCCTGCAACAGATTCACCACCATCTGGGCAGGATTCAGAGACAATACCTGAACCAGCACCTGAACCAGCGCCTGAACCAGAATCACCACCATCTGGGCAGGATTCAGAGACAATACCTGAACCAGCACCTGAACCAGCGCCTGAACCAGAATCACCACCATCTGGGCAGGATTCAGAGAGAATACCAGAACCGGTACCTGAACCAGCGCCTGAACCAGCGTCTGAACCAGAATCACCACCATCTGGGCAGGATTCAGAGACAATACCTGAACCAGCACCTGAACCAGCGCCTGAACCAATGCCTGAGCCAGTGCCTGAGCCAGTGCCTGAACCAGCACCTGAACCAGAGCCTGAACCAGCGCCTGAACCAGAATCACCACCATCTGGGCAGGATTCAGAGACAATTCCTGAACCAGCACCTGAACCAATGCCTGAGCCAGCGCCTGAACCAGCACCTGAACCAGCACCTGAACCAGAATCACCACCATCTGGGCAGGATTTAGAGACAATACCTGAACCAGCACCTGAACCAGCACCTGAACCAGAATCACCACCATCTGGGCAGGATTCAGAGACAATACCTGAACCAGCACCTGAACCAGCGCCTGAACCAGCACCTGAACCAGAATCACCACCATCTGGGCAGGATTTAGAGACAATACCTGAACCAGCGCCTGAACCAGCACCTGAACCAGCGTCTGAACCAGAATCACCACCATCTGGGCAGGATTCAGAGACAATACCTGAACCAGCACCTGAACCAGCGCCTGAACCAGCGTCTGAACCAGAATCACCACCATCTGGGCAGGATTCAGAGACAATACCTGAACCAGCGCCTGAACCAGCACCTGAACCAGCACCTGAACCAGTGTCTGAACCAGAATCACCACCATCTGGGCAGGATTCAGAGACAATACCTGAACCAGCACCTGAACCAGCACCTGAACCAGCGCCTGAACCAATGCCTGAGCCAGTGCCTGATCCAGCACCTGAACCAGCGCCTGAACCAGAATCACCACCATCTGGGCAGGATTCAGAGACAATACCTGAACCAGCACCTGAACCAGTGCCTGAACCAGCGCCTGAACCAGCGTCTGAACCAGAATCACCACCATCTGGGCAGGATTCAGAGACAATACCTGAACCAGCACCTGAACCAGCGCCTGAACCAATGCCTGAGCCAGTACCTGATCCAGCACCTGAACCAGCGCCTGAACCAGAATCACCACCATCTGGGCAGGATTCAGAGACAATACCTGAACCAGCACCTGAACCAGTGCCTGAGCCAGTGCCTGAACCAGCGCCTGAACCAGCGTCTGAACCAGAATCACCACCATCTGGGCAGGATTCAGAGACCACACCTGAACCAGCACTTGAACCAATGCCAGAGCCAGTGCCTGAACCAGCACCTGAACCAGAGCATGAACCAGCACCTGAACCAGAATCACCACCATCTGGGCAGGATTCAGAGACAGTACCTGAACCAGCACCTGAACCAGCACCTGAACCAGCGCCTGAACCAATGCCTGAGCCAGTGCCTGAACCAGCACCTGAACCAGAGCATGAACCAGCACCTGAACCAGAATCACCACCATCTGGGCAGGATTCAGAGACAATTCCTGAACCAGCACCTGAACCAGCACCTGAACCAGCGCCTGAACCAATGCCTGAGCCAGTGCCTGAACCAGCACCTGAACCAGCGTCTGAACCAGAATCACCACCATCTGGGCAGGATTCAGAGACAATACCCGAACCAGCACCTGAACCAGTGCCTGAACCAATGCCTGAGCCAGTGCCTGAACCAGCACCTGAACCAGCGCCTGAACCAGCGTCTGAACCAGAATCACCACCATCTGGGCAGGATTCAGAGACAATACCTGAACCAGCACCTGAACCAGCACCTGAACCAATGCCTGAGCCAGTGCCTGAACCAGCGCCTGAACCAGCGCCTGAACCAGCGCCTGAACCAGAATCACCACCATCTGGGCAGGATTCAGAGACAATACCTGAACCAGCACCTGAACCAGCACCTGAACCAGCGCCTGAGCCAGTGCCTGAACCAGTGACTGAACCAGCGCCTGAACCAGCACCTGAACCAGCACCTGAACCAGCGCCTGAACCAATGCCTGAGCCAGTGCCTGAACCAGTGACTGAACCAGCGCCTGAACCAGCACCTGAACCAGCACCTGAACCAGCACCAGAACCAGCGTCTGAACCAGAATCACCACCATCTGGGCAGGATTCAGAGACAATACCTGAACCAGCGCCTGAACCAGCGCCTGAACCAATGCCTGAGCCAGTGCCTGAACCAGCACCTGAACCAGCGTCTGAACCAGAATCACCACCATCTGGGCAGGATTCAGAGACAACACCTGAACCAGCACCTGAACCAGCACCTGAACCAGCGCCTGAGCCAGCGCCTGAACCAGTGCCTGAACCAATGCCTGAGCCAGTGCCTGAACCAGCGTCTGAACCAGAATCACCACCATCTGGGCAGGATTCAGAGACAATACCTGAACCAGCACCTGAACCAGCACCTGAACCAATGCCTGAGCCAGTGCCTGAACCAGCATCTGAACCAAAGCCTGAACCAGCACCTGAACCAGAATCACCACCATCTGGGCAGGATTCAGAGACAACACCTGAACCAGCACCTGAACCAGCACCTGAACCAGCACCTGAACCAGCGTCTGAACCAGAATCACCACCATCTGGGCAGGATTCAGAGACAATACCTGAACCAGCGCCTGAACCAGCGCCTGAACCAGCACCTGAACCAGCGCCTGAACCAGCGTCTGAACCAGAATCACCACCATCTGGGCAGGATTCAGAGACAATACCTGAACCAGCACCTGAACCAGCGCCTGAACCAGCACCTGAACCAGCACCTGAACCAGAGCATGAACCAGCACCTGAACCAGAATCACCACCATCTGGGCAGGATCCAGAGACAATACCTGAACCAGCGCCTGAACCAATGCCTGAGCCAGTGCCTGAACCAGCACCTGAACCAGCACCTGAACCAGCGCCTGAACCAATGCCTGAGCCAGCGCCTGAACCAGCGCCTGAACCAGCGCCTGAACCAGAATCACCACCATCTGGGCAGGATTCAGAGACAATACCTGAACCAGCACCTGAACCAGCGTCTGAACCAGCGCCTGAACCAGCGCCTGAACCAGAATCACCACCATCTGGGCAGGATTCAGAGACAATACCTGAACCAGCGCCTGAACCAGCACCTGAACCAGCACCTGAACCAGCGCCTGAACCAATGCCTGAGCCAGTGCCTGAACCAGTGACTGAACCAGCACCTGAACCAGAGCCTGAACCAGCGCCTGAACCAGAATCACCACCATCTGGGCAGGATTCAGTGACAATACCTGAACCAGCACCTGAACCAGCGCCTGAACCAGCGCCTGAACCAATGCCTGAGCCAGTACCTGAACCAGCACCTGAACCAGCGCCTGAACCAATGCCTGAGCCAGTGCCTGAACCAGTGACTGAACCAGCGCCTGAACCAGAATCACCACCATCTGGGCAGGATTCAGAGACAATACCTGAACCAGCACCTGAACCAGCACCTGAACCAGCACCTGAACCAGCGCCTGAGCCAATGCCTGAGCCAGCGCCTGAACCAGCGTCTGAACCAGAATCACCACCATCTGGGCAGGGTTCAGAGACAATACCTGAACCAGCACCTGAGCCAGCACCTGAACCAGCGCCTGAACCAATGCCTGAACCAATGCCTGAACCAGCGCCTGAACCAATGCCTGAGCCAGTGCCTGAGCCAGTGCCTGAGCCAGCACCTGAACCAGCACCTGAACCAGCGCCTGAACCAATGCCTGAGCCAGTGCCTGAGCCAGTGCCTGAACCAGCACCTGAACCAGAGCCTGAACCAGCGCCTGCACCAGAATCACCACCATCTGGGCAGGGTTCAGAGACAATACCTGAACCAGCGCCTGAACCAATGCCTGAGCCAGTGCCTGAACCAGCTCCTGAACCAGCACCTGAACCAGTGCCTGAACCAATGCCTGAACCGATGCCTGAACCAGCGCCTGAACCAATGCCTGAGCCAGTGCCTGAGCCAGTGCCTGAACCAGCACCTGAACCAGAGCCTGAACCAGCGCCTGCACCAGAATCACCACCATCTGGGCAGGGTTCAGAGACAACACCTGAACCAGCGCCTGAACCAGCGCCTGAACCAATGCCTGAACCAGCGCCTGAACCAATGCCTGAGCCAGTGCCTGAGCCAGTGCCTGAACCAGCACCTGAACCAGCACCTGAACCAGCGCCTGAACCAATGCCTGAGCCAGTGCCTGAGCCAGTGCCTGAACCAGAGCCTGAACCAGCACCTGAACCAGCGCCTGAACCAATGCCTGAACCAGCGCCTGCACCAGAATCACCACCATCTGGGCAGGGTTCAGAGACAACACCTGAACCAGCGCCTGAACCAGCGCCTGAACCAATGCCTGAACCAGTGCCTGAACCAATGCCTGAACCAGCGCCTGAACCAATGCCTGAACCAATGCCTGAACCGATGCCTGAACCAGCGCCTGAACCAATGCCTGAGCCAGTGCCTGAGCCAGTGCCTGAACCAGCACCTGAACCAGAGCCTGAACCAGCGCCTGCACCAGAATCACCACCATCTGGGCAGGGTTCAGAGACAACACCTGAACCAGCGCCTGAACCAGCGCCTGAACCAATGCCTGAACCAATGCCTGAACCAGCGCCTGAACCAATGCCTGAGCCAGTGCCTGAGCCAGTGCCTGAACCAGCACCTGAACCAGCACCTGAACCAGCGCCTGAACCAATGCCTGAGCCAGTGCCTGAGCCAGTGCCTGAACCAGAGCCTGAACCAGCACCTGAACCAGCGCCTGAACCAATGCCTGAACCAATGCCTGAACCAGCGCCTGCACCAGAATCACCACCATCTGGGCAGGGTTCAGAGACAACACCTGAACCAGCGCCTGAACCAGCGCCTGAACCAATGCCTGAACCAATGCCTGAACCAGCGCCTGAACCAATGCCTGAGCCAGTGCCTGAACCAGAGCCTGAACCAGCACCTGCACCAGAATCACCACCATCTGGGCAGGGTTCAGAGACAATACCTGAACCAGCGCCTGAACCAATGCCTGAGCCAGTGCCTGAACCAGCACCTGAACCAGTGCCTGAACCAATGCCTGAACCGATGCCTGAACCAGCGCCTGAACCAATGCCTGAGCCAGTGCCTGAGCCAGTGCCTGAACCAGCACCTGAACCAGAGCCTGAACCAGCGCCTGCACCAGAATCACCACCATCTGGGCAGGGTTCAGAGACAACACCTGAACCAGCGCCTGAACCAGCGCCTGAACCAATGCCTGAACCAGCGCCTGAACCAATGCCTGAGCCAGTGCCTGAGCCAGTGCCTGAGCCAGCACCTGAACCAGCACCTGAACCAGCGCCTGAACCAATGCCTGAACCAGCGCCTGCACCAGAATCACCACCATCTGGGCAGGGTTCAGAGACAATACCTGAACCAGCACCTGAACCAGCGCCTGAACCAATGCCTGAGCCAGCGCCTGAACCAGCGTCTGAACCAGAATCACCACCATCTGGGCAGGGTTCAGAGACAATACCTGAACCAGCACCTGAGCCAGCACCTGAACCAGCGCCTGAACCAATGCCTGAACCAATGCCTGAACCAGCGCCTGAACCAATGCCTGAGCCAGTGCCTGAGCCAGTGCCTGAGCCAGTGCCTGAACCAGCGCCTGAACCAATGCCTGAACCAATGCCTGAACCGATGCCTGAACCAGCGCCTGAACCAATGCCTGAGCCAGTGCCTGAGCCAGTGCCTGAACCAGCACCTGAACCAGAGCCTGAACCAGCGCCTGCACCAGAATCACCACCATCTGGGCAGGGTTCAGAGACAACACCTGAACCAGCGCCTGAACCAGCGCCTGAACCAATGCCTGAACCAATGCCTGAACCAGCGCCTGAACCAATGCCTGAGCCAGTGCCTGAGCCAGTGCCTGAACCAGCACCTGAACCAGCACCTGAACCAGCGCCTGAACCAATGCCTGAGCCAGTGCCTGAACCAGAGCCTGAACCAGCACCTGAACCAGCGCCTGAACCAATGCCTGAACCAATGCCTGAACCAGCGCCTGAACCAGAATCACCACCATCTGGGCAGGGTTCAGAGACAACACCTGAACCAGCGCCTGAACCAGCGCCTGAACCAATGCCTGAACCAATGCCTGAACCAGCGCCTGAACCAATGCCTGAACCAATGCCTGAGCCAGTGCCTGAGCCAGTGCCTGAGCCAGTGCCTGAACCAGCACCTGAACCAGCACCTGAACCAATGCCTGAGCCAGTGCCTGAGCCAGTGCCTGAACCAGCACCTGAACCAGAGCCTGAACCAGCGCCTGCACCTGAATCACCAACATCTGGGCAAGATTCAGAACTCTCCTCCGAAACAGTGCCTGTAACAGAATTAACATTTGGGCAAGATTCAAAGGACAGACAAAGCAGACAAGGATCACAACTGATTAATGCACCAGTCACTATGCCTGCAGCAGCACCTGAGTCACATCCAGCTGTGCTCCTTAATATCCCTCTTACAATAGATCACAAGCTACAACCACAGTGGAGAAGGCGTAATTGTCATAGAGGGTAAACAGAGTATGAAATGTATCACTGAAGTAATTAAATTATGTTCTAGTGAAAGAAGAAAACAGTGAAATGGAGTTTTGTCCTGAAAACATAAATAAATTCTAAGAACAATTTCTTTAATATTCACATGCATTTCCTGAAAGAAAGTGCATTTCTTGGGCATGGGTCTTTGCAAAACCAAACAATGGAGTTAAACAAGAAATGTAGTGACAAAAAATATATTTCCTAAAGATGGCAAAGTGATAAAAACAACCATGTTTTTTCAAACAATGCATCAAAACACACATTTACACGTGCAACCATTTATCTGTAATAAGCACAAAAAGGGAAAAATAGAGAAGTAGTGAAATATTTTCTATCCACTCTTATTCCTCTACAGTGATGTCATCATGGTTAAAGTCCATGATGATGTCATAATGTTTCCATTGCCAGCCATTCATATCATCCAATTTGTTTTAGATCATGGGTAGTGTTTTTCATGAGAGATGCTAAGTTTATGTCATCCTACATTTACACAGAGGTGAGAAGTATAAATCAGTACAATTTTGAGGTACCACAGAGCAAATATTGTACTTTTACTCCACTAAATGCATTTGATAACTTGAGTTACTTACTTTCAAATTAAAATTAATAATGCAAAATTTAACCAACAAATAAATTACGAGGAATTATTCGGTTGAGATAAGCCTTTATTGATCCTGGGGGGGGGGGGGGGGGGGGGGGGGGGGATTCCCAAGCTACTATTAGTAGCCTATAAAGTAATTAAAATTTAGCTTTACCAGCTGCAACATTAAAATACTCATTGATGCATAAATATATATAATCTAATATTATAATGTACGTGATTCTGAAAGGGACCATTATATATAATCAGTAGTTTCGTATTTGCTACTTTAAGTAGCCGATGTGAGGCTAATATAGTTTTACTTTCAACATTGGGGTGCTTCTTCTGCTCTTACATGTAGGCTATTTATTGTCTTGTTCATGTTCCTAATTTATTCGTATGTCATCGACACAAGCGACCTGAATGAAGATAGAGCTTGTCATAGTATTCTCACTATTGGTGTCTGAGCATGTGACTCGCCTAACCTCCACGTTGGTCGCCTGCTGGCTGGCTGTTTGATGATGTCAAGAAAAAGGAAAAAACCCTACTTCCTTGTACCGACTCGCAACTCAAACAGACGCTCCTTGTCGCTGCACTCATCAGCTGTGACAGACTCGTTCACCTGAGCGAAAAGACGCATTTAACAGAACATTTGTGGATTTTAAAGACCAGCGCGCAGGTAAGTGTCTGTTTCTTGTCTTGTTGAGTTGAAATTGAGCGGAAACAGCAGGAGCGACTTTTTTTTTAAACCTCAGTTAGCCACAATTAGACTGCTGCTCTGTGTTTACAGTGGACACACACAAAATGAGAAACCGTGGACTTTCACTGTTCTTGTATTAATTTAGATAACGAGAGAATGAGACAAAACAACCCTGTTCTGAAAGTTTATTTCCTCTCTCACTTCTCCTTTTGTATCACATTAAACTTTCGTCATGGGATGATGATGATGAGGTACACCGAGAGGCAAGGATATAATGGTCAGGACTGAACAAAGTATTTGATTTATGATTTTCTGCGACTATAATAACAAATATTCGTAGGTTTCAATCTATCAAATGTGAGGATTTGCTGATTTTCTCTTTTTTATGTGAAGTGAGTCTTTCTGGGCAAAACAACATTTAAATACACATTGGTCTTTGGGAAAGTGATGGACTGGATGGAATAATTTAATTTATAATAATAAAACATTTTTTAGACATCGACTCATTATCAAATCAAATATCAGAAATCAATAATGAAAATAATCATTACTTGCTGCCCTTAAAATAAGTATCTGATATAGGACACAATTTAAGCTGTATGAGATGAAAAGAAGAACAAAGGGAAGATATAAAGTAGCAAAGTAAGTTTGAGAGGAAGAAACAAAAGTATACAAAAGTCAATCAGTAAAAAATCAGTATATCTGCTGATTATTTTTTAAGTAATTGAATCATAGCTTTATCTATAAAATGTACAACATTCTGATAAATGCCTACGATTATTTTGCACACCCCAAGGAGGTGGGTTCAAATTACTTGTTTATCCAACTAACAGTTAAAATATAAATATTAAATATACTACACACTATATATACTATATATACTAAATATACACTATACACTAAATATATTTCAGTTTAATTTAATATATGACTAAGAAAAGCAAATTCTCACATGTGAGATGCTGGAAACAGAGCATGTTTGGCATTTGTGTTACTGAAACAATTAATATATTGTTATTCTGTCTTTTAGGATCACAGACTGGTGCAACAAATTTTTTCCACACAGGTGGAACATGATCAGTCAGCAGAGAGCGAGAAGAGATGAACGCTGAAGTAACTCTCTACCCTTCTGTACACCCATGGACTAAACGCTCCAACACTACCTCTCTGAACCCCACAGGCTCTCACACTTCTGCATGGATCTTCCCTTCAGTCCCCCGGGCTCCAAACTCCTGCGTTGCTTCCTTTGAGAAAATGTATCCCAGCGAACCCAACCTCTCCCCAGACCCCCAGCACCTGGAGGCCCCGCTGGACTTCTTCCACAAGCTCGGGTACTCCACGGCTCAGGTTCAGGCAGTTCAGCAGAAGTTTGGCCCAAACATGGACACAGATAAAGTTCTGGGGGAGCTTGTTAGGATCGGGGCTAGTCGGGAGGCCAATCAGGGGCCGGTGACCACGATGTCGGTGTTGGTGCCCCGAGGGGACAACCAGGCTGGGGGCCCAACCCTGCTGCTGCCTTTTAGTGTATTGTCTCCGCAGAACAGGGAGGAAAGTGGCGAGGATGAAGATGTTCTAAGACCCATTGTTATAGATGGGAGCAATGTGGCCATGAGGTGAGAGACTCCACAGAGTAAAAACTACAGCTGAAATCATTAATTAGTTAATCGACAGAGAATTCATTAGCAGCTACTATGTTAATTGATCATTTAAGTAATTAGATTCTTTTTATACGCCCAGTTTCACTGGTTAAAGCTTTTTAAATGTGACATTTTTGTGCTTTCCTCTGTTTTTTTTAAATCTCAAGCTGCTGTGATTAATTGATTAGCAACTATCTTGATTATTGAATAAATTTTAAAGTAATTTTTTTAAGCAGAAGTTTGCTCAAAGCAAAGTTTGATGCTTTTCTTTGTCATAGAAAACTGAATATGTTTGGGGTTTGGACTGTTTGTCGACATTATATTTTTGTGGCATTTTTTTTACTGTTTTTATAAGGTTTAATAGACCAAACAACTGATTGATTAATCAAGAAGATAATCGATAATTAATAGTTAGTTTCAGCCCTGATAAAAACCTGTCTCCTGCTGTAACTTTTCCCCCCACCTGCTTATTGCTTGATTACAAGTATTTATTTTTGTCTTATAGTTATGGTTATTATCATAAGGTGTCCCATAGCAGCTACATGAACCACTATTCATTTCACCGTAAGTGTTGTTTTGCAACAAGAGCAAAGTCTCTTTCACACATGAGGGGCTTTATTTTGCAGATTAAGCCAAACTACGCATATGTAGAAACATCACCAGTGAAAGTAACACCTTAAAAAACCCATGACAGACATTTAATTTTACCTTGAGTCAAATGATGATTCACTTAGTTTCTTCTTTTGAGGTCGTCTCCCTACTTACTGAGGTGACAAGTACTTGAATGCAGATGTGCCTTGTAGGCAACTAGGGGAGGTTCCAGCTTCACTGACTCACATCAACCTGTCTGTGGTTATAAGATAGTGATATACAGATTTCTGATGAATATAACAACTATTACTAATAATAACAAGATGACCAGCTCTTTGAGGTTGTACTTGGGCACAACAGTGCTTTCAACTAAATGTTAACCTCAGCATGCTAACATGCTCACAGTGACATGTTGATAATGTTTACCATGTTTATTATCCTTGTTTTGCATGTTAGCGTGCCATCATTTGCTAGCAGTAAATACAAAGTGTAACTGAGGCTGATGGGAATGTCATTAGTTTTGCATGTATTTGGTCTTAAAGGCAGTTAAGTCCTGTTTTACATGAAGATGGCAATATGACAAATCAGAGTTTAGCCAATGTGATTGACAATTCACCATAAGGGAAACTGGAATGTCTTTACAAAATGTCCTGGCAATCATTTCAATAGTTGTCAAAACATTTCGCTCAAAATCACAAATGTCAACATCCTGTTGCATTAGTGGAATAGTCAGGGCTATTATTATCTACTTAACAATTGTAATAAATATTTAATAAATAATAGTTTTAAAGATCACACATTTTAAATCTGAATGACAAATGTTTTTGACAAATAGGTCCAAGCTTACAGAAGGCTACATGCTAACTATTTTCTCTGTATTTGCGTTGCACATCGCCTGAGGGATTGTTCAACACAAATGACAAATTAATCATTTTACTCAGGGGACGATACACCACTTTGAGAGTTAAAAGACAAGCAGGAACTGATGTTTTTTGCTCAACTTTGCAGCACCACTTTGACTGAACTCTTACTCAGTCATTTCCCTCAAACATCTTTTCATACCTGTTAACTTTTCCACAGTTTGAGGAACAGAGAAAATGGGCTAGGGATTGAGATGACAAAAAGGACAGTGTGTAAACTCTGCAGAGTATCTACACCCCTCTAGGCTTTCCCAGACAGGCACGCCTGTTCATGCAGACAGACAGGCAGCTCGAGCATGCAAATCAGAGCATGTACATCTATGTGTGCTTGTTTCCTTGAAGACCAGCGCTGCTTATAGGAAAGACCTCATTTTCAAAAGGAACAGGCCTGACCACATTTTATGCACCTACTGTATCCAAACAGAATCAGAGGGCTCCAAACACTGATAACTGTTATATTTTCACAGTATTGCTCTGCTAAAGTAAATATACAGGGACAGTGTGTCATACTGTATGTTTAGATTTGTACCAATTCCTCAGTTTAGATGCTCTGACCCTATGTAGACCTACTGTACCTCTGAACTGAGCCAGGCTATCTTTGTGCTGAAATAAGCTAACTGGCTGATATAAATATTAATCTTGTCATCTAAATCTTTTCAATAAAACAAATATCTGTGTTTATCAAAATACCAAACTATTCCTTTAAAGGATCCCAAACTCCAAAAGGTTGTTTTGTGATGCAAAGTGTTGCTTTGCTTTGATTTCTTCTACCTGTACAACATGGTTGCTCAGAGTTTAGTATTATGGGAAACTCACTGATTTAGATTTAAATGTTAGCTGGTAGATATTAGAGCTGAAACAACTGATTAGTCAATTGCCAGTAAATTAATGGCCAACAATTTTGATAATCGATTAATCATTTTATCAGCAAAAATGCCAGAAATGGCCTTGTTCTAGCTGCTCAAATGTGAAAATTTGCTGTTCGGCTTCATTTTCTATTATACTAAATTCAGTATCTTTGAACTTTCGACTGTTTGTCATCCGTTTTCCCTGATTTCAATTTACTCATTCAGCCATGGGAACAAGGAAGTTTTCTCTTGTCTTGGAATCCAGTTGGCTGTCAACTTCTTCCTGGAAAGAGGCCACACTGAAATCACCGTGTTTGTTCCCTTGTGGCGGAAGGAGCAGCCCAGGCCAGATGTTCCAATCACAGGTAAGAAGACATTTGTTTGAATGTTTTCTACTTCCTGCTTCGTCTTTACACCGGCCTCATTGTTAATCAAAACCACAGTGTGGTTGTTTGTACCACTGTGAGATCTTATTATGAGTATTTATGTGATTAGAAAGGCAGATTGTGCATCTTTTTGCCATGTTTAAAAGTAAAATAATTTGTTGATTAATAAACTGAGAAAAACTTTATAGGTTCGAGAGAATTTGGCTTTTATTGTTTTATCATTATAATCTGACTATCTTTGTGTTTTAGACTGCTGGTTGGATAAAGACATCTAAAAATGTCAACTTGTGTTTCAGGGCTTTAGTTTTAAAGGGCATTTTCACTATTTCTTGATATTTTTTAGAAATAAAACATGGGTGAGTGCAGGAATCCCTCACCATAGTGAACAAATACGTCAGCACTAAAAGACTATTAGAGAAACTAATTGTCAGTATAAACAATAATAGAAATAAGCCCCATTTGAGATGGACCTGAAAGCCAGAGCCAAGATTCACATACAAGAACAGCTCTATTAAAAGAGCAGGACATGACTTTTGCTCTGATGCAACTGATGATTTTCAGTGTGAGCTGTATTACTCAAAATGGGAAATACCCCATGAAGTTTTTTTTCCTAATGTTTTATCTGTAATATATGCAGCTATAACTCAAAAAATGCAGGGTTTTTCCGATGCTTTATGATGCTAAAAGATAACCATTGGAACTGTCACCGTCAGTGATTGTTAACAGCCTTTGGTGGCCTACATTTAGAAGCAACTTTTGGCCCCATATTGCTTGGTAGCTTTATGAGGATGAAGAGATTTCTGATGCTGATACATCGTTGTTTGTTTCTTTCTTTTTTTTTACAGGATGTAAAAAGGATCTTAGTTAAATATTTAACTAGGTTAAATCTGTCTGCTGGGAAATCCCCAAACTAAAATGCAGCAGTGGCTTCCTGAAGTGTAATGCGTGCCTTTATTTGTGTATGATTTACTTAAAATAAAATCAATGTTTGTACAAGAACAATGTATCATGACAACGTGAAAACGATGTGCTCGTAGTGATGAACCTATCCCTCAACTCTTAAGCTCCCTTCAGCCTTATGGAGCTTTATAGTGAGTGTCAGCTCTTTATTTAGCCATCCAGTCACAACTTTACTTTACTGCTTTGATTAGTTTTAATTAGTTTTTAAAGTGGGTTTGCTAGTTTAGTTTTTAGTTTTTGAAAATGCTTAGTTTTAGTTTAGTTTCATTCATTTTAGTTTCAGTGTTAGTTGTAGTCTATTTATGTAATACAGTGAACATGTACAGCTGAACCAAAGCAGGTGTTACCGGCTTGTCAGGACCTGCCATACTCTGCTTCTGATTGGCTAGTCGTCCTTAACTAAGTAGTGCACATATGCAACTCCAACGAAGTCCGTAGTCCTTCAGTCCACAGCTAAAAGGGAGTGTTCAACACACAGGGTGAAAAGAGGTGTGGCAATGAATGTATGAAGAAAATATTGTCTTTCTTAAAAGTAAACCATGAAAACCTATTCTGGTACAACCCCTAAATAAAGTTATGAACCTGAAAATTTGCATAATACGAAAACCTCTTGAAAAAAAAAAAAAGATTAGCCTTCTTGTGCAAGCTTTTCAAATGGACTTTCAAATTCGTGATATTTTTTTCCTTAAGAAATGTTACACATATTTCATCACCTTCCACTGCACTTGCTCTTATTTGAGACACAGCCATATTCAAAATAATCCCAAATGGGACTCTGCCGCCATGATGCCAGGCAAGGGGCATGGACTTTAACTGGCACAGCTAAGAAATTGGAAGTTAGATTTCATATCCACCCAAAATACTAAGTTTATGTAGGCCCTATTAAATAACCTGACAAAGATGAAAACTAAAGACATTTATTCTACAGTTTTGGTTTATTTTAGTTTGTTTTGGAAACAGACAATACTGTTTCAGTTAGTCATTTTTATTTTGGAAAGCCTAGTTTTTATTTTTATTTCAGTTAACGAAAATGTGTTTTCACACCTAGTTTTTGTTATTTGTCAGTTTTCATTAACAATAGTAACCTTGCACACCTGGCATTTGTTTTCAGTGAATAGGCTGTAAAAGCCCACTATACGCTGTGCATAACTAAATAGCAGACAGACTCAGTTAGCAGCTAGTTGGTGAACATAGTGGAGTATTCAGCGGCTAAAGAGCAAGCTATTTCCCCTTTGGCAGACAAAAACGGAGCAAAAAGAAGAGTGAATATTGGAGTTGCTTTCATCAGGTGGACCAGAAACAGACTCCAAATGATTAATAATGTTGCTCTGTAACTACTGGATGTGTAAATAAGCAACTGTTTGCAAAAAAGTTTATCATATCAACTTAAAAGGTGGTGGTATGTCAGTGTGTACAACTTGTTTCCACTGTCAACCAGTGGCCAAACAGAAATCAGTTACTGCAGGTTTAACAGTGACCTAATGTGACTTTTATATTTGCTTCACAGATCAGCACATTCTGCGGGACCTGGAGAGGAAAAAGATTCTTGTGTTCACACCGTCGCGACGTGTTGCAGGCAAACGTGTGGTCTGTAATGACGACTGCTTCATTGTCAAGCTGGCCTATGAGTCTGACGGCATAGTCGTGTCCAACGACATGTACCGGGACCTTCAGGGGGAGAAGCCGGAGTGGAAGCGCTTCATCGAGGAGAGGCTGCTCATGTACTCCTTTGTAAATAACAAGTGAGTTCTGCCTTGTTGATACTGAGCTTCCCTCGTTGTGTGTGAAGCAGTACTTTCAGACTAATGTTTGAATTTCACCCGACTCAGGTTTATGCCTCCTGATGATCCTCTGGGCCGCTATGGACCGACCCTGGAGAACTTCCTGCGGAGGTTTCCAAAGACCCAGAAAAAACATCCATGCCCTTATGGTGAGAAAACTTCTATAACAAATTCCTGGTCCTGTCTGGTATTGACACAAATGCTGTCCATGTTATACTTGATATTTTTAGCCATACAAGTGGCATTTTTTGGTCTACAAATTTTGTTTCAAAATGAATTATATCAACAAGTTTTAGATGGATAGCCAAAAAAGTTAATACAAATATAAATTTTCCCTCAGGATGAATTATTTGGTGATCTCTTAAATTCAAAATTTGACAATGTCTAATACTTATTTGTAACTAGATATCTAAAAAAACTAATGACATTCCCATTAGCTTCAGCTGTACTTTATGTTTAGTGCTAATTACAAATGTTAGCTTGCTCACACCCTAAACTAACATGGGGACTATGTTGAACAACAGCATTGTGAGCATTTTAGCATGCTGACTTTAGCATTTAGCTTAACGCAGAGCTCACAGAACCACTAGCAAGGTCTCTTAGTCTTGTTAAAACACAGCAAAACAATTTGCATGCTCTAAGATGAACCGATATTGTATTGATCGTAAGGGCAGCTTGGCACTTTTCATGCAAAAATTGACTCGGACATTTTACTATTATCTTCATTTTGTTATTTTATTTTAAATGTTGTCTATGGTTGCAAATGAGTTCTCTTAAGAGTTTTTTGAAGGTCTATAAGAGTAAAAGGCAACAAATTAGCATGTTAGCATTGTGATTGTGAACATTTTAGCAGGCTGACATTAGCATGCATCTTACAGAGCCATCTGAGTGGCTCTAGTCTCTTATCATCTCTGTTAAATTCTTCTGTTTTGTTCTTCTTTCAGGAAAAAAATGTACTTATGGAATCAAATGTAAATTCCACCATCCTGAGCGAGCCAAACAGTCCAACCGCTCGGTTGCCGATGAGCTCCGGGAGAACGCTAAGCACCCTATGGCTCAGAAACAGTCTTCAGCTCGCTCTAGTCCTGTGCCTGGACAGAGCCTCTCGTTGGTGGAGGATATGGCGAAGAAACTAACTCTGCAACATGAGAGTGGCTCCTCAAAGAAAGATCAGAAAAATGAACATGTAGCTCAGGTGAAGGTGAGTCACCGCTCCAGCAAGAGGGCCACAACCAGAAAGGAGAAGACCAGCCAACACTCGTCTTCTGACCACAGCTCAGTGAAGCATTGTGGCTCTCACGAGCAGCTGGACTCTGGTTTAGGCTCCATTGACAGTCAGCCAATGGAGACTCATTGGAGTGATCACCACTATAGGAAGAAATACGGGAGCTCTGAGCACACCCACAGTGTAAGACAACAGTACAGCCCTCCTGGAAGCGCACCATGCAGCTGCTGCTCACATGGCCCTTCCTCCAGGGGGACCACGCCAGTTTTCCATCACCACAACCAGCATTACAGCCTTGGGCCTGTCAGCAGCCACAGCTCTGATATGACTCCCTACAGCCCGCCTCATCATGCAAGCTACTGCGCCTACCCAGTCAGCATTCCGGCGTACAGTCAGCCGACAGATTTTCTGCACAGCGGAGTCCACAGCCGCCAACAGCAGCAGCAGTACTGGTCCGAACCATTCGGGGCTCATCCTCCGGCAGTCCGCAGCCTGCCAGGGGACCACTCGCACTGGGAGCCTCCTCAGAGTACACAACCGAGTCCCGGCGGGGGGGGGGAGAGAGAGGTTGTCCGGAAGAAGCTCCTTGCTATCTTCAGTGCCCACTTGGTGGACACGGCCATGGACATGTTTCCCCAGCAGATGGATCCACAGAAGCTAGTTGCCGAGATCCTCATGCTGCAGAGTCAGAACAGGTCGCTGAGATGAGTCCAGTGCCATTCTGAACCCACGTCTTTCAGTAGAAAGACTAAAAGGATAAACATGAGTTTGTGTATTTTTGTATTGTGGTATCCACCTTGCTAAAAAATATTTGAATGCTTTGGAACTATGTTACGTTGTAAGTTGCCTCAGTGAGCTGGATAAAATAAGTGCCAGTATTCAGTTGATACAAATTGTATCTTTATTTAAATGTAATGTAAAAGGACAAAGATTTAAATGCCACATAATAGGATGTAACTCATAAAGAGCGTTCATTGTCTACTTCATTAGGGAAACTTTTATGCAATCTAGTACAACCATAAAATCTACTTTTATTATCCCTACTGACGCTGCCAGAGAATGAATGTTAATGATAGTGTTTTGTTTTTTTGTGGTGTGGGTGAGATTTATACTGAATATAAAAATGTGTCATATTGGCACTGTGTGCTTTCACAGCCAACTATTGTAGGGTTAGGCATACCTATCGTTCAATAAAAGTGTCTTGATGAAATGATAACATTGAGTTATTGTGGGGCACAACTTCTAAAGGCACACTAAATAATAATTAATCTCTCAAAAAATGAGATTTGAAACTTTAAACTGGCTTTATAATGCTTTGTATTGTATTATTTATTGTGTTTTTGCATTTGTTCTTGTGATACTTTGTCCATATTGAGACGAGAATACAAGAAATTGTAATATTTTGTAACTGTTCATCTTTTTCGGGATCAGACCCAAGATGACAACATAACTGTCAGTAGAGACAGTTAAACAAAAGTGTTTGTCAGTGTTTAATTTATAGTGACATTTATACTATTACATAAGTCCGAGCATGACAAACCTTAATGTTTTTATTTCAATGAGGAGTAAAAATTGTGATTATCTCTGTTGCAAAATAAAAATGAACATGATATGGTGATTTGTGATGTGTGTGTGTGTGTGTGTGTGTGATAGAGAGAGCTGTGAAATACTTGTCCCGAGTCTCGTCAGCACAGGTAAACTCAGGTCTTCTGCTAAATTTATTTTCACACCTAAAATCTTATTTACAAATACGTAGATTTAACAATATACATATATATGTTTTCATGCAGAAGCTTGTCTTGTGCCTGGAGTCAATTATTGACTCCAGGCACAAAACAATTATTCCCTTGTTAATCAATTAATATTTTTGTTTATAAAATTTTACGAAGAAGCAAAAAGCCAATGACAGTTTCCTAAAGGAATTAAAATGGCAAAAATTGTTGCAACTATATTTGTGTCAATCAAAATACTCTTTTTTTTAAATGAACAGTTAATGAAATCGTGAGTCAGGGCCAGTCTAACATTTTGGTAATTTAATGTTGTCCAACAAGTTTGTTTACATAGATAATAAGTATAGGCATAGTATAAGTAAGGCAAGGCAAGGCAAGGCAAGTTTATTTGTGTAGCACATTTCAACAACAAGGTAATTCAAAGTGCTTTACATAAAACATAAAAGCAACAGGGAAATATAACAAAAGTTACAGTGTTACAATCAGGGTTAAAAGAGTTAAATGGAAAATAAAAACAGGCTGAGGGGTTGAGCAAATAATTGAGTTACAATCATTTTGAAAAGAGAGTAAACAGAGAAGTACACTTAATCTACTCTCTCTAGCTAGTCTGTACTTGGGTCCACAGCAATCTTTGGGTCCAGTGAAACTCCAAAAACCCTCAGACACTACAGAGAAACCAGGACATGTCTGTCAGCAGGCCACTTTGATCCAGTTATACTCTAGACCCACCTGCGCATTTACAGGTGGACAGAGGTTCCTGCAAATTACTCGGGCGCGAAATTTAAGACCGCTTCCTTCACTCTGTTCAATCTCACTCCCACAATCATCCAACTCAATTATCTACTCATTTCTCACTGTGTAAATATTTAATTAAAAGCAACCGTAAAAAACTAAAAACAAAGTCAAAGAAAACAGAACAGTAAAAGTTACAGTGCAGTGTAAGTTATCAATCTACTAGTTAAAGGCAGTGGTAAAAAGAAAAATCTTAAATATTTAACTAAAAGCAATGGTAAAAAGAAAAGTCTTCAGTCTTAATTTAAAAGAACCGACAGTTTCAGCAGGCCTCCAGTTATCTGGGAGTTTGTTCCAGATATATGGAGCATAATAACTGAACGCTGCTTCTCCTTGTTTAGTTTTGACTCTGGGGACAGAAAGCAGACCTGCCCCAGATGACCTGAGAGGTCTGGATGGTTCATAATGAAGCAGAAGATCAGAAATGTATTTTGGCCCTAAACCATTTAGTGCTTTATAAACTAACAGCAGGATTTTGAAATCAATTCTTTGACATACAGGAAGCCAATGTAAAGACCTCAGAACTGAAGTGATGTGATCCACCTTTTTGGTCTTAGTGAGGACTCTGAATCAGCTGCAGCTGTCTGATGGATTTCTTAGGGAGCCCTGTAAGGACACTGTTACAGTAGTCGAGTCGACTGAAGATAAATGCATGGATAAGCTTTTCCAGGTCCTGCTGAGACCTAAGTCCTTTAATCCTTGATATATTCTTCAGGTGATAGTAGGCTGACTTTGTAACTGTCTTAATATGGCTCCTCAAATTCAGGTCTGAGTCCATGACTACACCAAGATTTCTGGCTTGATTTGTGGTTCGTAACATTACTGATTGAAGTCAAGCACTGACTTTCAATCGTTCCTCCCTGGCTCCAAAAACAATAACTTCAGTTTTATCCTTGTTTAATTGAAAAAGATTCTGGCACATCTAATCGTTGACCTGATCAATACAGTTACTCAGCACCTGTATGGGATAATAGTCCCCTGGTGAAATGGTTATGTAAATCTGTGTGTCATCTGCATAATTATGGTAACATATTTTGTTGTTTTTCATAATCTGAGCCAGTGGAAGCATGTCAATGTTAAACAAAAGAGGTCCCAGAATGGAGCGGGTGTTGAGTAATTCAGTTTATTGTAGGAAGTATGCAGATCCTAATTTAAAAGCAATACTGCAAAATAAAAACTAAACAAAAGTCCTGCACTGGAAATGTCACTTAAAATAGAGTACTTCACAGATTTAGTAATGCACTCCCATACTGGTCTTACAAAGGATAGTTTTAAAAAAAAGTATAAAAATCTATGCAGCAGAACCAGAGATATTATATAAAAGGTTTTATACAACTTTGTCACATAGGAAAGACAGACAGATGCTTTGTCTGCATATTTGTATCACTAATTTCACATTCTGTGTAAATACTTTGGGGAAGCATTCATATCCTTTACTTAGTAAATGTTGCAATATTGCAATACATAAATACATAACAAGTAAAATTCCTTCAGTTGATATGTCACTTAAGTAAAAACTGCACAGCAGTTTAAATAGAAAAAAGGCCAAGTGACTCCACTATGCACAGCAATACAGAAACAGGCTGTAAAAAAAGCAGCAGCTGCTATGGACTGATGAGTCAAAATGTGAAATATTTGGCTGTAGCAGAAGACAGTTTGTTAACCGAAGGGCTTGTTCCTTGCAAGTCTGGGGATGCATTTCTGCAAATGGAGTTGGAGATTTGGTCAGAATTAATGGTCTTAAAGCTGAGAAGTAATACTTCTCATCATGTAATACCATCAGGGAGGCATCTGATTGGCCCCAAATTTATTCTGCAGCATGAGAATGACCCCGAACATCCAGCAAAAGTCACTAAGAACTATCATCAGCTCAAAGAAGAACAAGGAATCCTGGAAGTAAAGATCTCAACATCATCGAGTCTGTCTGGGTTTACATGAAGAGAGAGAAGCAACTGAGGCTGCCTAAATCCAAAGAAGAACTGTGGTTAGTCTCCAAGATGTTTGGGCCAGCTTACCTGCTTTTCCTTGTTGAATGTTGTCAAGTAGAAGTACAAAGTGGTATAAAATGGATATACTCAAATTTGTATCTGTTTACCTTTTCCACAACTTTCTATGTGCAGACAAGTTGAGGCGTCTTTGCATAGCACATATACCTGTGTACAAAAAGTTGTGTAAAAAATCTCCTCTGTGCAGTCTGAGCACATGGACTCAACAGGTCATCAGGTTAAAATACACTTTACGAGATTTAAAAACTTATTCTTCAACATAAAACCACAGCTAAACGGCATTTAGTTAATTTAAAGCAGCAGGTTGTTCAAATTAAATTTGTTTTTGTAGGAGGATCAGATAATGATCCATTTTGCTGGTTTCAGATAATAGAATATAATGAGGTGCGAGAAAGTTTAATTTTAAATCACTTACTGACGATTTGGTTTAAATTTCTTTAAACATGAAAAAAAAACTTTACTTGTTTGCATGAGTCAGGTGTTGAATATAATGAGCAGTGTGTTCAATGATTGCTTCAAATATTGTTGAACAATGATCATGTTTGGTCATGGGACACTTAGCAAACACAGACTGCCGGAGGAACATCCATGACATACAAAGATGTATGAGTCATTCACGGAAACAGTTTTGCATTGAGCTCTTACTGTACTTCCCCTGCTTACGGTGCAATTTGATATCAACTCAGTACATTTAAGCACAGTCAAATGCACATGAACATTGCAGGTACACACACACATACCTGAGCGAGAATATGGAACAAAGAAATATTGAATTTCAGCAAACTGTAGATACTGTAAGATAAAATAAAACTTAGACAGAGAAAATATAGTACAAGAGAGCCAAACGTTTGATGCTTTAGGAAAGTTTTAAATGCAGTGAGTTGGCTATGTGATATGAGAAAGATATTATTATTAGGCTCATATTATTATATGAGAAAATGATCACAGTCACTCCTAATTTAACCGAAAAACAGCTTGTCGTAGTTTGAAGGTTAAAGGGAAACTCATTGACATTTTGGGAAATATTTGATTTTTTGTTGATCAAGATCAACAAACAAAGTGTGGAGACATTGTCAGAGTGAAACGTCCCACTTTCACTGGAAAAGATGAGATTCTTGGAAAGAGAAACCAAACGAGAGACCTGACTCCAAACCACATTTTTAATCTGATTGAACTTTGTTCAGCATTTTGCCGCATAAGAGAAGATCTTTATCACTTTTTTAATCGTGAAAGCAGGCCGGCTGTCTCTCCTCTTGAACCTGCAATAACTGAATTTCTGGCCACTTACCTCATTTCATATCATGCACAAACCTGGCAGATTGCACATATTTGTTGTTAATTGTTAATCTTTGTTGTTTTATATTTTTATATTGTCAATTTATATATTTATGTTCACAATATTCTTTTCCTTTGCAATACGTCTGCACAATACAAATTCCTCATATGTGTAAAACATTACTTGGCAATAAAGCTCCTTCTGATTCTGATTGGGCAAAAGAAAGTTGTGAACACAACACTGACATGCCTTTTAAGTTGATGAACTTGTTAGCACACAGTTGTTTGTTTACACATCCTGCAGATGCAGAGCAACATTATACAAGGTACAAGGTACATGGTCAACATGGTTGTAAAATTAGTTGTAGTTTGTGGTTCCTTTCATGCTACAAATCAACATACAAAAAATATAAAATTATATACATACATTATATACAACTATTTTGCACGGTGCAGTGCTGAGGATGAATTTAAATTAAAAGTGACATAGCCTGGGGGAAGAAGCTGCTCTTTATTATTATTTTTTATTATTCTTTGGAGTCATGTCACCTGTTCTCTGATACTTGCTGTTATTTTTCCCCAATTTGTTTTGGCTTCTGAGTTGATTGGAGGGTTATGCAGATCGCTTGTTGCGCAGGGTGTGGGGACTGGCTCCTTCATAATATTTGAGAGCAGTTGGTGAATTTCCCTGTTGGCCATTCAGGGTGTGTCGACACCCTTTCTTTGGGGATTCTTTGTGAAGAGGTGAGGAAGCGCCCCACCTTGGTCTGTTTGAGCCTTCGCCAGCTTTCTGCACATCTAATTTGATCAAATGT